ATTGCTGTGGTAATTACAGAAATTTTTTTTGAGTTTTCAGTTGCTTAGTTTTTCTTAGAAGTTTTATGATGAATAGTTCTTGTGATTGTTCTTAAGTCTCTCTCTTTTTTTTAAGATTTTATTTATTCATGAGAGACACACAGAGAGAGAGGCAGAGACATAGGCAGAGGGAGAAGCAGGCTCCATGCAGGAAGCCCAATGTGGGACTCAATCCTGGGACTCCGGGATCATGCCTTGAACCAAAAGGCAGATGCTCAACTGCTGAGCCACCCAGGCGTTCCTTTCTTAAGTCTTTCAAGATGAAATGCCAAGTGCTAGGAATAGAGTAGGAGGATTCAAGAATATCTAGGTCATGACATCATTATCATTATTATTATTATTTTCCTTGTTGTCTTACCTTTATTTAGGAAGCCAGCAATATCTCTACCTTTTCCCCCCCTCCTTTTTGATACTGTTGAGAGCTTGAAAACTTCCTGAGTAATTATTGGTTACTCCTTGGTAGTTAGGGAGGTTGCAGAGGGAGACCAAGCAATGTGTTAAAGTACGCAGAAAGCTTATTTGGGATATCAATGGCAGTGTTTCATAAAGTGGGATTAGAATCCCCTCCTCTCCCCCATCTCATGACTTAATGTTGCTGTTGTTATATCTCAGTGTTGTTTACAGTCTCATTTTATGCAGAAAAAGATTCCTCATGAAACTTTTTTTTAGCAATAAATATCGTTACAGAGTTAAGAATTTAAGACTTCAATTTTCCATGCCCTGTTTTCTCCTATAAGTAACATTATCTTTTTATCTTTGCTTCCATCTTCCTATTTTTCTCTGCTATTCCAGAACTGTCTCTGTTCCTGTGTGGTGCTACTTGTCAGTCTGAGTCATACTTTTTTCCAATTCATAAAGTTCTTGAATCCTGTGATTATCCTTACCTCATGCTACTGAGTCCTTTTTTTGTTCACTACTTCCTTTTAGCTTGTCATTGTGTATGATTTCACTTTTTTTGGGAAGGATCACACTCATACCTTCATTGGCTAGTCACTGGTTCAATCGTTTAAGCATTCATTAACCCTTCACTTATTATGTTTTTAGGCATTAGAGAGAAGAATAAGAAAGTTTCTTCTTCCAAGGAGCTCATGGTCTCTGGGGAGATAGATAAAGATAGTTATAATTCTATGTAAATCCTGGGATGGAGGTGTTGATATGCTACTATGAGAGTAGGATCTAGTTCAGTTTAGGATGGAAGAGTGGATTGACCAGGCTTTTTAGGGCGGGGAGGGGGGGTGTTTAATCTGAGACTTGAAAAGAAGTAGAAACCAGCTAGGCAGTGTTAGAAGGAAAAGACATTCCAGAAAGGAATGTTTTTAGTCCAAATACTGTGTTATTTTTCAGATAACATGTACCTGGCATGGGTTAGTTAGCATCTGAAGTATTAGTTATATGGGTACTCTTCTCAGTGGGGAGGTAAGGGAAGAGGGAATGAGGGTAGTAAGCTTAGGTGTATGACGCAATTATATGTATGAAACAGCATGGTAAATGCCATATTGAGGTTATGATTGCTCCGGGAATTTAGAGAAGGATTAATGAAAGATTTTTTTTTTATAAATTTTTATTTATTTATGATAGTCACAGAGAGAGAGAGAGAGAGAGAGAGAGAGAGGCAGAGACACAGGCAGAGGGAGAAGCAGGCTCCATGCACCAAGAGCCTGACGTGGGATTCGATCCCGGGTCTCCAGGATCGCGCCCTGGGCCAAAGGCAGGCGCCAAACCGCTGTGCCACCCAGGGATCCCACATTAATGAAAGATTAATAAAAACTAAGGTAGTTGAAAATGAGTTTAGATTTAGTATAATAGGAGAAAGGGAACCATTAAAAGTTTTGGGGCACAAGGGCGTAAAATAGTATTGCCAGATTTCTCTTGGAGTGTATGCATGGACTCTGGAGGTGATTAGCAGAGAGGAGTGGTAAGAAATCAGTCAGGGAGGCCAGCTAGGAAGCTTTTGGAATGAGGTGAGGTAATGAGGGCCTGACATTTCTTAACCAGATTTCCATAACTAGATTCCTCAGAGCCTCTCATGCTGTTTTTAAATTTACCACCATCTGTTCTCTTATACAAGTGGACTTCTGTCATCACCATTCCATTAAGAGGTTTCTTTCTAAAGTTACTGATGATCTGGCCAAATCTAATGGTCATTTTTTGTGTTCTTCATGCTTAATGGAGAACCATTGCGGCAACCAAGTGACACACAGCAGTGGAAGCACTTTTTACCTTACTACTAAGAATATATAAAATTTAAAAATTTGTGGGCGCCTGGGTGGCTCAGTTGGTTGAGCACCTGCCTTCCACTCAGGTTGTGATCCTAGGGTTCTGGGATTGAGCCCCATGTCAGCCTTCCTGTTTGGCGGGGAGCCTGTTTGTCCCTCTCCCATCTACCTGCTGCTCCCCCTGCTTGTGCGTGCGCGCGTGCACTCTCTCTCTGTCAAATAAATAAATAAAATCTTTTAAAAAATTTAATAATTTGCAAACAGAAGCCCCACTTTCTAAATTATCTTGTTTTCTTTATTTCTTAATTTTTATTTTTTAATTAATTTTTTTAAAGATTTTATTTATTTATTCATGAGAAACAGAGAGGTAGAGACACAGGCAGAGGGAGAAGCAGGCTCCATGCAGGGAGCCCGACGTGGGACTCTATCCTGGGACTCCAGGATCACGCCCTGGGCCGAAGGCGGTGCTAAACCACTGAGCTACCCAGGCTGCCCTATTTCTTAATTTTTAGGAAATGATTTTATTTGAGAGAGAGAGAGAGAACATGAGTTGGGGGAGGGGTAGAGGGAGAGGGAGAAAGCTCCCAGCTGAGCAAGGAGCCAAACACATGGCTTAGTCTCAGGACCCTGGGATCATGACCTGGGCTGAAGGCAGTCGCTTAACTGACTGAACCGCCCAGGTGCCCTTGCGTTTTCTTTATTCCCTAAGTTCCTATAACTTATTTCATCCTGGCAACGAGCATGTCATATAATGCTGAGATTATAGAGCAGGATTTTGTTTTTATTTTTAATCTCTGAAGGTGCTGTGTAGAGAATTTAAAGTTCACATTTCAGAGGAATATACAGAGTAGAGATGGAGGAAATTTGAGAAAGTGAAAAAGGTAAAACTGTGGATGAAAATATCCAAAGAGCAAGATAATAGGTCTCTACTGGCAGTACAGATAGGCTCCTCATGGCTGTCTCTTGATTTATAATTATTGTTGCCTAATCTGGTTTACTTTATAGTGCAGTAGTACCCTCGCCAGATAATCCTAGAGTAATATTATTAACTAATGCTTAACGGATGTTTCTTCTTTGTATATATGCTACCACATTTAATTCTCAAAGTAATATTTTAATTTTTTAAAGATTTGAGAGAGAGAGAGAGAAAGTGCAGGTGAGCGTGCTCCGGCTGGGGCCAGGGTAGGGGACAGGGGTGTGTGACAGGGGAGAAGAAGAGGGAGCAGCAGACTCCCCACTGAGCAGAGAGCCCTGATGCAGGACTCCATCACAAGACTCTGAGATGATGACCTGAGTTGGAAGTCCATGCTTAACTGACTGAGCCATGCAGGTGCCCCCTCAAAGTAATATTTTAACTGTAGGAACTATTACTGTTCCATTTTACAGATGAGAAAGCTGGAGTTTAGAGATGTTAATTTCCATTTCCTGGACCTAGTAGCTAGTAGAATTAGTATGAACTCCGATCTCTTGGACTTGAGAGCCCGCATTCTTTATCAGTTCTGTATTTGCTCCCAGAAGTGCATATCCCAAGCACGTATGCCAGAGTCCCTTTTGTAGCCATTTGGGATGAGGGCCCGTATTGGATTTTATTTGCCACAAAATTTTTCCTTTCAGTGAGGTACTTTGTTTTTTCGTGTTACTTTGATATCATTTAGAAGTCTGATTCTTCTCTATCACCACAGTCATTATTCCTGTTTCTTTAATCCCATGGTAGACAGGTTTTGTATCTTCTGCTGAAAGTTAGCAATTCCAGTGTGAAGTGTCAAGCTTTGTTTCTATGTTTTTATCCTCAATTCTACAAGCAGCCTTTTCCCTTCTCCGGAATATGTGTTAACCTGGCAGATTTTGTTTTTCTTTTCTTTCTTTGGGTTGTGATGGCCTGAATTTTTCAGCCTTGGAGAGAAATACATTACAGAATCCAGATCATTAGATGTTTGCATTAGACCGCCCTGAGTTTTTAATGCTTCTTGCTATCCATTTATATGATTTTATCTCATCTATCCTACACTCCCAGATCTTTAGTTTTCTTAAGCTTGTTCATTGATTTTGTGGTGTTTTACTTATTTATTTTTTTAGCTGCCTTAGTACTGCCTATCCTCCTCTTCTCTTGTTCATCAGTGTCCTTGAGTTTGCATTCCTCTTTTCGGTCAGCTCCCCCAGCTAGCTTGTCTGCTTACTATTCTTGTCTACCCTTCTTGCTTTTCCTACCTCCCACCCGCTCAGCTCTACCTTCTTTTCTCCTTGCAAATTCCTGTGCTTGTTTCTCAGTCACTTTTCTGGCTTCTTTACTTTGGATAGTCTTTTGTTTGTATGACTTCCCTAAAATTTGTATAATAAAAGAAATGCCAAGTGTACAATCTTAAGATTTTAAAGGGCCTGTGGTATTGGTGAGTAAAGAGCTGGACTGCAGACTTATTTTTCATACTATGATCCTGTTGCCCTATTTAAAGTGACAGTCTTTTTTAGAAACATTGGCATTGGGATCACTTTGTGTGTAGGTATTGTTCTGAATCTTAAACATTTTAAAACCAAATTTATTGTATTTTGGAGAGGAAAAAATTTAAAAAGATTGGAAATGTTGAGCCCTTAAATATTTGTTTTGGTCATTAACATACTCAATCTTTTTCCTCCAGATTTAACTCAGGCTTTCCCTCACTTTGGAACTCCTAGATTTGTGAATATTGGATATTTTGAGAAGCAGGGGTTCTTTCCTTGATATTGACTAAGGAGTCTATTTACCTTCAGGATGACATCTGAACTGGAGAGCAGCCTAACATCTATGGACTGGTTACCACAGCTCACCATGAGAGCAGCCATCCAAAAATCTGATGCTACACAAAATGCACATGGAACAGGAATTTCCAAGAAGAATGCACTCCTTGACCCAAATACAACACTGGACCAAGAAGAAGTCCAACAGCACAAAGATGGGAAACCTCCATACAGTTATGCCAGCCTCATTACATTTGCAATTAATAGCTCACCCAAAAAGAAAATGACTCTAAGTGAGATTTACCAGTGGATCTGTGATAACTTCCCATATTATAGAGAGGCTGGCAGTGGTTGGAAGGTAAGGATTTTATTTAAATTATTATTTTTATGCTATAAACATAAAAATGGCTCTATTGAAGATAAAGCTTTGTAGGGGCTTATATAATTAAAAAGTGAAATTCTGATGATTAGTCATTTTTAAGATGTCAGACAAGTAAAATTTTTTTATTAAGTGATTAATTTTGCCTTTGATGGAATACCAATTCGTTAAAACTTTATTATGTTGCATGACTGAGAGAACATAAAGTAAGAACAGAGATAATTAGCATTCACTGGAAAACAATACCTACAGCTCAGGTAAGTGGATAGTGGGTCTTTAGTTTAAAAAAAAAAGGTATTGTAACTAGTATTGTTTTCCTCATCTAAGATTTTTTTTAACTTTCATTTTGAAAGAGTTTTAGATTTATCGAAGAGTTACATAAATAGTCCAGAGGGTTCCCCTGTGTCCTTCAATCACTTCCTCTATGTTAACATCTTATGTAATCATAGTACAGTGATAAAAACTGAGAAATTGATGTTAGTTCAGTACTTTCAAGTTTTTCCTTTTCCTTTATTCCTTCTCTATTAATTGGGATTCTTTTGTATTCAAGACTTCTACTTTCTCGTTTTATTTACTTATTCAGTCTTTTATTTTCCATAGTATGCATTCATGGACATTTATTTGTGCTGTCATTATTTGTCAGTCAGATAGTTGAAGCTTTGGCCATAAAGAGCTCTTAGAAGTTGGCTCCTGTGCCCTTTTGATTTGGCCCTGTTATTTTGTTTGTTTAGCACTTTTTAACTTTCTGGCACAACAAGATGTTCCAGGCTCATCTTGTATTATTCCTTTCCACTCGTAGAATTAACCAGATCTTTAAGAAGCCCTCGTTCCTCATCTAAGCTTTTTGATGAACTGTCAAATTGGTTTCCTACCTAATTTATGTTCTACAACAAATAATTCAACTTAACTTTCTTTTGTGTCTGCACATATTGTTTATATTCCCATATGAGAATTACCCAGTTGTATGCTATGTAGGGTATGTGTATATGCATGTGGAAAAAGGGAGTTTAGAGTCTTAGATGGTAATTACTCTTGTTTCTTTTAAGCCTTCCTGTCTCAACACTTTTGTCTTTTTTGTTTGACTAGATTTATTAAAGATATTTACTGATTTATTATGCATTGATGATGTGCTATGCACCATGTCAGATAATCAGGTGTCTCAAGGGAAGGGATTTTTAATATATCCACTTCTATTCCATGTCCTAGTACGGTGCTTCCATTTAGTAAGCCTAGGAAATGTGGTTCAAATGAAACCTTGAATCTTGGTCCCAGCCTTCTTTCATAGCTTTACTTTTTTCTAGTTCTTTCTCATGCATCTTTTTTCTTTTGCCTATTCCAGCCTGCTAGCTGTCCCTGGAAATAAAAACTGTGATTTTTTTTTTCCCTTGCTTTCAATTTTCTCTTATTTGTCCTTGGACTTTCTGCCTTTTCTTCTAGTTGGCATTATCCTATTTTGTCTTTCAGATTGTGTGTTACCTCTCTCCTCCCTATAGAACTAATCTTTTCTGTTTCTGTATGCTTGATTAATAACAGCATCATAGACTTTTAGATTTTTGCTCAAATATCTTGTTTCTTTAGTTTTTGTTCTGTACTCAAATACTTAAGTGATAGTTGCTTTTATTTCTGTGTCAGGTGCTTTATTTCCAAGTGCCTTCTTACATCTTTGTCTTTTTAAGTCACACAATAGTTTTAGGAAGTAAGTATTGTTACTGTCCAAATTTGCAAAGTAAGAAAACTGAGGCTTAGAGAACTAACTTTACAGTTTCTCAAAGAATGCAGGAACCCAAGATTTAGTAACAGACTTGGAGATTTGGAGATTTCAAATCTCATGCCTTAACCATTACACAAGGCCTCTAATTTTGTAAACACTGTATAAATATTTATTGAATTTAATTTTCCAAGATGGTCTGTCTCTTAACTGGCCAACTCAGTATGAGCAGCAATTATTAACAGTATAATATGAATAAAAGTCTACTCTTAACAATATTTCATTGGAGGAAATACATAAAAGTATTTGATCCATGAATAAAAAAAAAACATCATTTTAACCAAGTAGTAGTGATCCATGTAAACTGTGTGCTCTGGCTTTAGGCACTATTCAGTAGAGTCCTTCTGTCAAGATTTCGGATGAGGGAAGGCAGATTTTGATAAACCTGTTTAATATTGGAAAAACATGGTGGCTAGGGAATAGACATGCCCCAAATTTGAATAAGTGGCTTAGAAAGCCCATCAGGGATTCATGGGTCACTATAACTGGTTGTAAACTTAAATATTTGCAGAAACCAGGCAGGTGACATAAATGAGTAACGCAAAAAAGATGCCTAACAGAAGAGTGCATGTCTAATGTAAGGCAGCTGTGCTCTAGGCACTTGTTGCATTTTAGAGAATATGACAGATCTTACATCCCCCCAACCCCCTGAAAATTCAGAAATCTGGATTTTGTGTGTTGTTTCCCAATTTATTTTTTTTAATTTTATTTATTTATTCATGAGAGAGAGACACACACACACGGGGGGTAGGTGGGGCACAGACACAGGCAAAGGGAGAAGCAGGCTCCATTCCCATGCAGGGAGCCTGACTTGGGACTCCATCCCTGGTCTTCAGGACCACACCCGGGACTGAAGGAGGCGCTAAGCCACTGAGCCACCTGGGCTGCCCTGTTTCCCAATTTTTAAATTTTAATTCCAATTCTCTTTAATACAGTGCAGGCCAAACATAAGTCTGTTGGCTGAGTTCATTCTGTGGACTCTGGCCTAGATCATATCCTCTTGTTTTCAGCTACTTTAGTCTTTAATTTGAAAAGGATTTACTTACTGTATACTCTTGTGAGTATGTTGAGTTTGGCAGTACTAAGAAACTTATTAACACAGGCCCCCTAAGGAAGCTTATAATCTTTATTGGATAAGGGGGATAATCTATAAACAAGTAAGTATGATGTTATGTAAACAGTTCTGTAATAGAGAACTACAGAATACTGTGCTGTGATGAATTGACTAATTGGGCACACCTACTGTGTGTAATACTATCCAGTATATGTGTGACTTAGTAAAGAGTGCTAAATGAAGATTGAAGTTAATAAGTGCTGTGAGAATTTAGAAGAGCTTATGGCAAGTGTGATGAGGTTCTTGAGTGGCAAAAAGACTAAGTGCTAGGAGCACACAGGAAGGGTGAATCAGTAGAAAACTATTGAGGAAGTGTAATTGAGCACTATTTTGAAGACAAGGAAGATTTGGGTTTTTATTTAAAAAATATATAAAAGGGGGATCCCTGGATGGCTCAGCAGTTTGGTGCCTGCCTACGGCCCAGGGCGTGGTCCTGGAGTCCCGGGATCGAGTTCTGCATCGGGCTCCCTGCATGGAGCCTGCTTCTCCCTCTCTCTGTGTCTCTGCCTCTCTCTCTCTGTGTCTCTCATGAATGAATAAATAAAAATCTTAAAAAAATATATATATATATAAAACATTCAGGAAACAGTTGCTTATAGGGGTTCTTGAGAGAAAGCAGTAAGAGTTGGGATAGAGCCAGAATGCAGAGATTCCTGAATATATGAATGCCAAGCTGAAGAGCTTGGTCCAAATTTCGAAGTGAATAGTACATGAAGATCAATTATGTACCTCATTTACTGTCTGACCTCAGCTTGGCTCAAGTGTAAGTCCACATGAGAGTGCCACATCCATTCTGAATTTTGTGCTGCTGGCCAGCCCAACTCATGCCCTGACACTGGTTTGGAAGTAACTGATAGTTTTAGCTGCAAGATAATGGCTTAGTTATAGTGAGGAAAGAAGGGGAAAGGGAAGAAATGGGAGTAGGTGGAGGAGTATGTTGCTCATAGAACCAAAGAGATTGGTCCAATCTCTTGCTTTAGGCAGATCTTTAATATTTCCAGGGATTGCTATCTTATAATTTTTCTTTTAAAAAAGTCTCTTCCCCCAATTTTAGGGTGCTTAGAACTTGCCAGGATTGTTGCCAATTTTATTTCTGTAGACAGAGAAATAGTTTAAAATAAACATTGCAAATGGAGACAAATGGAAACTGGTTTACCACCTCCTTTGCTTAGGTCTTAACTCTTATTTTCACATTTTACAATTTGCTCTCCTTAGATTTGTTTTGCACACTCCTACAGTCTGCTGCTCAGTATTTCTTGTCACCCAGAGGAGAAAATATTGCCATGGTCATTTGAAAGGATTCAGATAGAACTTTAATATTTAGTTAGAATTCCCTTTCATTTCTGTGCTAGCGCATTGAAGGGAGGTTATATACTGAAAATAACTCTTTGAATATTCCAGAAGAGTTTAAAAAACACTATTTTAATTTCTATGATGGAATGATTTTGTAATCTGAACTAGAGGAAAAAGAATTTAAATTTTTGTGCTATTCATTTTATTAAAGAAAACCTTTTAGCTTACTGGAGTTTAGGGTAATAAAAAGAAAAATACAAAAAAATGTTATGTGTATGTGGAGTGTATTCTACTTTTTATGTGGGCAGAGAAAGAAAAATCTATATTTGTTTATTGTAAAAAAGAAACAGGAATAATAAACTAGAAATGTAGTGAATATAGTTACTTATAAGGGGTTGGGTGGAACCTAGCTGGAAGGAGTATAGAAGAAAATAAGATTTTGAGTACACTTTTTATTTAGTTCTAAACCATGTGTTTTTACACTACATATATATATATATATATATATATATAGAGAGAGAGAGAGAGAGAGAGAGAGAGAACCAAAAAGCATGGAAAAAGGAAACTTTAGAACTGAATATAAGCAGAAACAGACAAGCCATACATCTTACCAAATGAATAACACAATCACACACAAAAAAAATTCAAGGAACTTTTGAAAAGAGTATTATTTCCATGGGATATATACTAAGATTGAAAAGAATTGCAAAGAAACCGTGACGTTTACTTAATAGCTCTGTTTAGTGGTTTTTCACTAGAGGCAGGCAGTCTCTACCTCCAGTAACCCCAAGAAGAGAAGTTGGG